TTCATAAATTTTCCATTTCTTGGACCTACAACTTGAAGCAAAATAGTTACATATGTACATAGTAGGAATATTTCTTTTATTGGTTGTGGGTGCTGAAGACCAAGATATCCAGTTTTGGAGTTCCTACTGTTTGGTTTTTGAGAGGATTGATTGTTTGTCTATACTTGTTTTATGTCAACCTTAGTAATTAAAATACTTGCTGATGCTTTCTATATTATTGACTTTTATATCGAGCAGGTAGCCTGTTCACTCTGCAGTGAGACAATGGAACGTGAAATTCTAGCTGTCCATAAAGGTGAAAATTGTCCCCAAAGGATTGTCACATGTGAGTTCTGTGAGTTTCCATTGCCAGCAGTTGATCTCGCTGAGCATCAGGTAGGGACCTCGCAATGATTTAGAAATTTCAACATCTGTTTCTGCTGCATGCTTTTAGCATAATCTAATTTATACACCTGCTTTTCTCTTAATTTTAGGAGGTATGTGGGAATCGGACAGAACTCTGTCACATGTGTAATAGATACATTAGACTGCGAGAAAGATATAATCATGAGTCTAGATGCACTGGCTTACCAGATACTACTGTAGAGTCTTCCAGGTAGATATACTAAACCCCTTGGCCACAATTTTTGAATGGAAATGCTATTATATTGCCTTCCTGATTTTCTAGGTCCAAGTGTTACAAATTGATGTTCTCATTTATGAGATATTCATCACATAGTGTGTTGTGCACAAATGATTTTGATGTGATTGATATATCATATGAAGCATAGTGGTGGTATTACAAAACACAATCTGAGACAGTGGATGTGGAAAATGTAAAAATTTGCAAAGCATTGAGAGTGATGGTTAAACCTATCGCAGTAGAGATGCATGCACGGATATCAAACAGCCTCTCTCCTATTTCCTTCTTAAAATCCTTATCCAGTTGCAGCATTATATTTGCACACATTAATCTGTGAAAAGATGTTTCTCTTGACTTCAATGTTTCATTGGTAGCAGACCCCATAGGTATCTAGCTTATTTCTGGATAGTTGGCCCTACTATTGGCATGTATGGATTTGAATAGGGATAACAATTTCATCGGAACCTGATGCATAACATCTGAACTGACTCAAATGGGTGGGTTTATTTGGATATTTACCTTACCCTGATAGGTAATGAATATGGTATGAATTTTGTTAAACCCGACCCAAACATGACCTATATATATATATAATGTTTTAATACAATATAATATATACATATCCCAATTTTGACACAATACACATATATATGTATAACATTTATAATTTTTTATTTAATATAAATAAATATACCTCAAATATATAAATTACTGATTTATTTTATGTTGAATAATAAATAGTTCTCGGTTAATTGATATCTATATGGATACCTGAAACCTGATGGGATAAGGTATAAATATCTAAATTTCTTACCTATTGGATAATAGGTAGTAGGGTATGGATATGGGAGAAACCTGACTCTGGGTACCCATTGCGATCCCTAGATTTGTGTTAGAGGCCATGGTGAGCATCCATACCATCTTATAGAGACACTGGCACGGTTAACTTTTTCATGGTTTTCATGCATTGATATGTATGCTGCTTCAGCATCTGTGGCCCTCTTTTGTAGACACTTTGAGTTGTGCAATCCCAATGAGCATTTTTTGATATTTGCTTTATGTTTTCTGAACCTTATTTTGGATTTACTGGAAAGATATTAGTATCTGGATTTAAATATTATTTTGATGTTTCCTAACTTACGGAATTTGTCTAAAAGGGATGTGAGGGCTGCTGAAAGAAGACAGCCGCCAGGTCCCCAGAGAAGGCAGCCACAGGAATTTTCTCGGAAACGACTTCTATTCACCATTGCAATAACTGGCATTGCTGTTCTGTTAGGATCATTTCTCTTCCAGAAGAAAACTGAGGATAGTCAAGTGCATTAGCACCGAGAAGTATTGCATATGAGCTTGTGTAAATCAGCTTAATAGCTACCATTTCCTTTTGTCTGTATCTGTAATCGTCTGAGTACACTGTTGTTGCAATGCTATACGCACTGAGATTGTCTTGGTATATCGACAGATTATGTTAAGACGCATCCTCATTGGAAACGAGCTCCACCATTTGAACTTTTGTAAATGATGGGTTTTTAGTAACGTTGCATTCTCGTTATTGGCAGCATTTTATGTTGTCGGTTTACTGGCATTTGTGAATCTCTCTTCGCTTCCCATGATATTTGACTGGAGAAATATGCATGAAGAATTAGAGCCGAACGTGATGGTTGGGCGCGGAAAATGCAGTTTATATTGAAGTAAATGGATTTACAACCACTGTTTCCCCCTAACCTCTCCTCTGCCTCTTACCAGAATGAGCTTTCAAAGCCCATGTATTCACAGGGTGCTGCTGTTAATGAGCCAGATGCTGATGACAAAGCCTGGGCCAGATGGCCCCGAAGGCCCAATAAGATAGGACAAAGGCTTCTGGCCGGTACCCGCATTTCTTGCTTGCTTTTGCACATGTTGGCCCTCGTGCCTCGGACCAAACGTTCTTTGTTTTGTTTTGTTTTGATAAGTGGTATATTTCTTTCTAGTTTAAAAAATAAAATAAATTAGAATAGATTTTATTTTACTTGGAATCTCAGCACTTTTGGAAATTCAGTTTTAATTCTGATCAGAATATTCTGGTTTTATTTTGGTTGTTCCACTTCGGTCAAATAATAATTTTTTATTAAAATATTATCTTGGTTATATCTTTTTCTAATTTTAACTAGATCAGGGGCTAACATTTTAAATTTTTTATACAATTATAAAATATCTTTTAATCTAATCATTTAATTAAGTTAAAATTTTACAAGGATTTTTTTTATATATTGTTATATCTCATATTAAAATTTTAGAACAATCAAAATTTAAAAAGATCTTACAATATTGACAATGATATTTTTATAATTTTATTTTAAATAATATTTTAATTATGTTTTTTATTTAGATTGAATTTTATTTAATTTTATCATTCAACATTGATTTTATTAGTAATTAATCTTCATAATTTATTTTGATTTATTTTATTTGAGGTTTTATAGTCTTATTATCCAGATTACAAATTTAAAAAGTCAATACAGGTTGACTCGAGTCAACCTAATATATTGTCATCTCAATATTTTTTTTTTAAAAAAAGTTGTCTTAATTTTTTAAAGTCAAATAATATTTTTACCAATCATCTAAATTATATTTGGACTCATTAAGTTGATTAGCTCATATCAATTTAATTTTTATTTTTTTATTTGTGTTTGAAATTTAAAATTGTATAATTTAAAATTAATTTATTTTTAAATTTGAATTGAAATTATGTTTATTGAATATATATATATATATATATATTCAATAAACATAATATATATATTATTGTCCTTGTTGTTTCAATGCATCATGAATATACAGTGCTATTTTTCGTGTTTCATTGAATGGACGATAACATCACTCCCATGAATAAAGCTAATACCAAATCGTGTCGAGTACCTTTCAAGTAAAAATCAAGAAGCCAAACTTACTTATTGAAATCATATCAATTGGCTAACTAAAATTAGTTCTATCTCGTTTAATGTCCACCTTCTAAAAAGACAAACCAGTGGTTATTCAGTCCCATCACACCATCCAATTACATGTAGATGTAAAGGCTCAACAATTTAGATCAAAGGATGAAGCATATAGATATTCATGCCTGCCGTCCAGCTATGTGAACAAATCGACCAATCATCTATCCTTTCTCGCAATGTATACTTTCTCATAATGGTTACTTTTGAGAGTTAGAAATAAGAATAAAAAAAAAAGAAAAAAATAATTTTCTTTCACGCATCTTCACATCAGTTTTGTCTTTATATATTCAAATAGAAAAACATAATTACTCTTCTGATAATTCCTCTAAATATTTAAATATTCCTCTAAATATTTTTCATAAACAGGTTAGACCTAACCCAATAACTAATATTTATCCAAATAAAAAACCCTTTTTTTGTTTTTTTTTTTGATGATTGCAAAACTGAGTAAAAAATCCTGCTCTACGTTAAGAATTATGTCCCACCTCTCTAAGTAGGACAAAACTTGGGCCGATTGATTCTATATTGATCCTCAGTGATGTCTTTATATATTCAAATAGCGCAAAAAAAAAAAAAAAAAACTCTTCTGATAATTCCTCTAAATATTGAAATGAGATTTATTTTTTATAAACAGGTTAGACCTAACCCAATAACTAATATTTATCCACATAAAAAACCCTTTTTTTGGATGATTGCAAAACCGAGTAAAAAATCCTACTCTACGTTAAGAATCATGTCCCACCTCTCTAAGTAGGACAAACTTGGGCCGATTGATTCTATATTGATCCATCCTAGCTGCTCGCCAAATGCATCCAACAGAATTAAACATTTAAGCTAAGCTTAGCCGAACAGGCAGGCACTCCAGACTAATCAAGGTATAGTCTCTCGTGCCGAGCGAGATAAGAATCAATGCGTGCTATAATACTTCACTTCCATGTCTCAGTTTCTTGATGTGGAGGTCAAGTTTTCTACATAAAAGAAATAAAAGTTAAAACACCGACCTCAAACATAATAAATAAATAAAGAAAGAAAAACTCGACGATAAGTTAAGGACCCACTGTTATCATCGTTCAAATAATACACATAAGGAGATTTGATACGCCGTCCCACCATCGAAGTTCTACATGTTTTAACAGAGATTAGTACCGAATATTCTGAGGGTTAGAGGTCTTAATTGTGTAAAACTAGAATTATTTCTACGTTAATCGTTTGTGTGTTTCGAGTAATAAAATGTCTTTTTAAGAATACACATGCATATAGACTATTAGATTAGTGAGACTTATAATTTATTAAATTTTAATTCTGTAACTCACACAGTTGCTCTGTTCCCCATATATATAGCGATTCTTGCACGCCTTTATCTAATGCACCAAACTGTGGCGAGTGACGAGTGGCGACTAAGTTAAGAGATTTAAAAAGACAAAAGTGATAAACAGAAAGCAGTTTAAGGAAGCCTTAGGTCAATAGATTCTTGCAATGTCTTTCATATATATTTGGACCTCCTCCATTCAAATTTCTTCTCAGTATTACTATTGATAAGCATCAGTTTGCAGCCTTATTTGAATCATACAAAATTCAATTGTTTCCGGGGTCTGTATCAAGAGCCTTAGCATGCCACATTTAGGAGTGCAACTCCTTGTTCAAGATCGTCATGTAAATTAAATTTGATTTCCCCATTAATGTCTTTTCTGGTTTCTTTCTTGATTTTCTCTTAAATGCTGGAATGCTAGGCAAAGGATTTTCAGGTTTTTGTCGTTCTCTTGTTGAAGTTTAGCTTTCATAATGCATGAACGTAGGTGGTGATGGATAATGGGATACTGCAAGTCACTCTGTCAAACCCAGATGGAATTGTCACTGGCATACGATACAGTGGCATCGACAATTTACTTGAAGTTCAAAATGAAGAATCTAATAGAGGGTACAATACTTTTTGTTTATTCCTGTTCTTTTGTTTTTGTTTGTTTCTTACGAGGGACAAATTGAAGAGCTAAAACTATTGGTGATTGCAAAATGCTAAATCAACGAGGCACACGCATAGAAAATAGGTTACCTAAATTGACCATGCATATTTCTAATTCTGCGTTTTGGATTGATATGCAGGTACTGGGACCTCGTATGGAATACAGCAGGAACTACAGGAATTTTCGATGTGTATGCTCTCGTTTTTTGCCCTCTCTAACAGGCTTATAATTAACTAACTCTTAATGAATTGTTAAAAGCTAGCCTCATGCCATTAAATTCGGATTTTTATTATTAACCAAAGATTGATCGAATACTTGCTTGTTATTATGTATGGTGATTGGCACAATCTGTGCAATTTATTATGAACACCTGAATATTAATTTAATGATCCATAACTAATATAACAGTTAGTCGGTCCTCAATTTTAAACTGAAATGTGGTCAGTAGAAGAGATTGCTTATTCCTTTCTTTCTTAAGCCGGAGATCATTGAAGGTCTAATTACTGTACAGGATTAAAGGAAAAAGTTTTAAGGTTATTGTAGAAACCGAAGAACAAGTGGAGGTCTCATTCACAAGAACATGGGATTCCTCACAGGAGGGCAAACTCGTTCCCCTGAACATAGATAAAAGGTGATTCCTTATTTATTCCCATGCTTTCCTTTGAAAAAAGGAGAAACATAATGACAAACCTAATATAATTCTATTATAGGTTTGTAATGCTTCGTGGTTCCTCAGGATTCTACTCTTACGCCATCTATGAGCACTTGAAAGAATGGCCTGGTTTTAACCTTGGCGAAACTAGGATTGCGTTCAAGCTCAGAAAAGACAAGTAACCGATTTTACTCTTTTTTTTTTTACTTGCGGTGCCTATTTTTTTCACATGAAACTTGAGAGAATAGTAAGAAATGGAATGTTAAAAACACGGAGTAATGACAGTTTCTAATGGGGATGGTTTGAGTGGATAGGTTTCACTACATGATCGTGGCAGACAATAGACAAAGATACATGCCATTACCTGATGACAGATTGCCACCAAGAGGCCAACCCTTGGCCTATCCTGAGGCAGTTCAGCTTGTCAATCCTGTCGAGCCAGACTTCAAAGGAGAGGTATGTGCTTCTCTCTCTCTCTCTAATTTTTACAGGATTTTGATTTCTTCCATTATAAAATGTATAGGTGGATGATAAGTACCAATACTCAATTGAAAATAAAGACAACAAGGTACACGGGTGGATATGTATGGACCCGGCAGTAGGGTTCTGGCAAATTACACCAAGCGATGAGTTTCGATCTGGTGGACCAGTTAAACAGAACTTAACCTCTCATGTTGGACCAACCACCCTTGTGGTAAGCTATGTAGATTATTAGCCTCTTCATTTTTAACAGCATTTTATTGCAATGATAGTCTATGACAAATTGCTTTGATTGGATCCAAATGTCATGACCAGATGTTTCTCAGTGCTCATTATTCGGGAGAAGATTTGGTGCCGAAAATTGAAGCTGGTGAGGCATGGAAGAAAGTATTTGGACCCGTGTTTATGTATTTTAATTCTGTGATGGATGGAGATGACCCTCTTTCGCTTTGGGAGGACGCTAAATTGCAGGTTATTTTGAGATTAACTCTTAAACTATACCAATAGTTCAAGCAAATTCATCTTTAATAAGTTAGAACTGATAAAGATTGATATATGTGGTTATTAGATGTTGATTGAAGTCCAAAGCTGGCCTTATAGATTTCCAGATTCGGAGGATTACCAAAAATCGGATCAACGAGGGAATGTCAGTGGCAGACTATTAGTGCGAGACAGGTAGGGGTGCAGAGACGATCAAACTGGTTTATCTGCGATTACTTTCTTTTAATGGCTGTCTTTTTCAATGTCTAGGTTTGTCAGCGACGATTATATACCAGCAAATGGAGCTTATGTTGGACTAGCACTACCAGGAGATGTCGGATCGTGGCAAAGAGAATGCAAGGTGTGACTGTGATTTTTTGTTATCTTGACTATTCTTAACCATTCCCGCGACATAACAAAGAAGCGCTGTAAGAATCCACCAAAGGAATAAAGAGAACCAATGCTCTGTCGATCTTAACAGAAGCCATTTTATGGGGATTTTTTTTCTGGCAGACTCTGGAAGATAATAATGTTACCTGCTATTTTCTTTCAGGATTACCAATTCTGGAATAGAGCAGATGAGGGCGGCTACTTTTCCATCAATAATGTGCGCACTGGTGACTATAACCTTTACGCATGGGTTCCTGGCGTTATTGGCGATTATCGATACGATGTTTCCATTACTATTACATCTGGTATAACTCCATTGATTTGATTCTGTCTTAATTTCTTTGGGATTTATTCTACCACTACAAAACATTTTTATCTAAAAAATCCTGGTACACAGGTTGCGACATTGAGATGGGTGATCTCGTGTACGAGCCTCCAAGAGATGGGCCAACATTGTGGGAAATAGGCATTCCTGATCGTTCGGCAGAGGAGTTTTATGTTCCTGATCCTAATCCTAAGTACATCAATAAACTCTATGTTAATCATCCTGACAGGTTAGTCATGCTACTTTGTGAAAAGCAATCTGTCCTGATGAGGCTTATTTTTGCAATAACCTTTTTCCATCTTCCTTGTGCACGCGCCTAGAGCAGAAATCTCAGCTCCATCATGTCATCATATGAACATCGATTGGATACTTGTATTAATTTTCAGGTTTAGGCAGTACGGACTGTGGGAAAGATATGCCGAATTATATCCTGATGGAGACCTGGTGTACACCGTTGGAGTTAGTGATTACAGAAAAGATTGGTTCTATGCTCAGGTTACCAGGTGCAATTCTGCAACCTCAATGCTGTTTTGCTTTCATTGACATGTAGTTAGTCCTCTTACTTGCCTGAAGAAACCACCTAATCAGAATTTTAAATGTTCCTTTTATTATCAGAATGTGCTTAAGGGGACCTGTTCATTTCTATCTTTGGCTTCTTGATTGCAGGAAGAAGGATGATAACACATACCAGAGAACCACATGGCAAATCAAGTTTAATCTTGACGAAGTGGATCAAAATGGCATCTATAAACTACGTGTAGCACTTGCATCGGCTACTATTTCTGAATTGCAGGTATGGAAATCTTCAAATGATCATTAACTAATCAAGTGTAATTCCAAAAGGAAAACAAACAAACAAAGAAAAAGCTACAGAACATCCAGTTTCCATTGACGTTAGTTTTACAATGCACTAATCCAAGTTTATTTTTTAAAAGGTTCGAATAAACGATCCAAAGGCCAAACCCTTATTTTCAAGCGGATTGATAGGGAAGGATAACTCAATAGCAAGACATGGAATTCATGGACTCTACTGGCTGTATGGCATAGATGTACCTGGTGCTCGACTTGTTGAAGGTGATAACGCTGTGTTTTTGACACAGCCAAGAAGCACCAGCCCTTTCCAGGGGATTATGTATGATTATATTCGTCTGGAAGGCCCTCCTTCTTCTAGTTCCAACACACCGGAGACATCATTTTAGCCCAGTTGTATTTTATCATTCTACTTTCTGACATTGTAACTTATTTCTGTAGTTTTCTTGAAATTTAATGATTATATGCTTATGAGACAACCATTAGATAGTTGTGAAGAAATAAAAATCAAGGAAAACATTTGGTCTGTGAGTTTCAAATCTTTCTGTTACATTAACAACGAAAGAAAAGAACTCATCCTCTTGGTTAAGGTTATGAGTGCTCTGTTCCGGACGTAGTATATAGTAGTTCCACGAGAAATTGTATCACAAACCTTGTTTATATAAACAAAAATTGATTGATATCTTGGCACCACACGACATTGGCCATAACTTTGATTAATTATTATTATTAATTTAAAAAAAAACTAAAAAGGTTGGTGTTTTAATTATGCATCACTTTATAAAAAAAATATTTATTGCAATTTTTTGTCTTTGAATTTTTTTTTTCATTCCAAGTTTTTTTTTTATTACATCATTGTGCATTTGATTTATTAAAAATTGAATTACATGGTTTGTCGTGGGTTGTATATTGTGTTGTTATCTTAATCTTATATCCCGTATTGAGGGTTAAGTCAGTTAGCCTCGTTGATTTGAATTTTTTTTAATCTGTATTTTTTGAATTCATTCTACAACAATAAACTGATTAAAAATTAGATTTTATAATTTATTCTGGTTTACTTTCTATTAGATTGTCCTGATCTCATAAGTTAGATTACTAGTTTTGCAAATAAACTCATAGCATTTTATTGTATCCGTTGTTTAGATTGAATTTCTTTTTAATTTTTTTCTTCAATAATGAGTTGATTAAGAATAGTGCTGTATAATTTGTTTTGATTTGCTTTATATTGAGTTATCTCGGTCTTATAACCCGAGTCATGAAATTGACAGGGTAACCTTGATTGACCTGAATTTTTTTTTTTTCTAGTTTGTTTTATATGATACTATTCTGGTCTTATAACTCGGATTATGTGTTTGACTAGTTGACTAATATTTTTTTAATTGATTTTTTCAATTTTATCCTTAACATCAGGTTTATTAATAATTGAATTTAATAATTTATTTTGATTTATTTCTTATAGGATTATTTTGATATCATAACTTGGGTTGTGAATTTAGAAAGTTAATTTGGGTTGACTTATATCATTTTTTTTGTTCTTGTCTTAATTTTTTTTCTAACTTTATCCTTCAATATTGAATTGATTGAGAATTCAGTTTTATAATTTATTTTGGTTTGTTTTTTATATTGATGTCATGGTCTCATGATCTAAATCATGAATTTAACAAGTTAATTTAAGTTAATTTAAATCAATTTAATATGTTATCATATTTTAATATAAAATAATAATATTATCTTGAATATTATTATTTTAGTCAAATCACATTTTAATAGAATTTTCAAAAGAGGTTGTCCTTGTTTTTAAAGGCATGGTGGCCATCCAGGCCAAGGCATTTAGCTTTATTTTACCTTTAGGTTTCTTTTCTTTAATTTAAATTTAAATTCAATAAAATAAATTAATAAAAAATTGGGATATTATTCATCGTTTAAATTTCACTTTGTTTTTGTATAAAGATTATAACTTTTTTATAATATTAGCAAATGATTTTTTGTAAGACCCTCATGATAATTTTTTTTAAAAATTAATTTAGTTGTTTTTTTGTGCATGTATATTTTTATTATTATATAATTAAATAAAATTTAGATTCCAAAAAATAAATTTTTTAAACCAAATTATGTACATAACTTGGGTAATAAATTTAGTATATTAGCTCATTTTGATCTCGATCGATTAGAAATATTGTCTCAATATTTTTTTTTGTATAAATATAACAACATTTATTTTTTTAAAAAATATATTATTTTATCAAGTTTACTTAGTTATATTTAGATATGTCATATCAACTATATTATTTTAGATCAACTTAAATTTTGATCAGTTTAATTTGAAATTTAAATTAGATAAAAACCAAGTCAGTATTAGTAACATTGTAAAAACATTCATGTTGCAAGCTTGTATTTTTCTTTAAACTTTTTAATGCATTCGTGTTAAATTTATTACAATGTTATTTTTTCTATAATAAAAAATTGCTTTTATAATTAAGATAAGATGTTGGCTAGAAAATAAATATTATGGTAAACAAATATTAGATTTTTTATTTTTATTAAATAAATAAAATAGGACAAAAAAGTTATATTTTTGTAGAAAAGAAATATTAATAAAAAAATAAGGAATTATACTAGCAAATTATTTAATTTCAATAAAATTAAAATCATTACTCTTCTTGAAAAAAATAATTATTGCCATATAATTAAACAAAATTGAAAGGCATACTGTGGCATAATTTCAGATATCTTAATTTATACTTCTCTTTTGCCTTCTTGTCCCTGGTTTTGTTTAGCCTTGAAAACTTTTTTTTTTAAATATTAATATATATATATATATAATTATTAATTTATTTTATTAAATACATGAGTTAATAATTAAAAAAAATTAATGTTAAAAAAATCGTTAGTGATACCTACATATTCTTTTTTCCATGTAGAAATTTTATATTTTGATCCAGTCAAATGACTAGCGGTTTCTAATAGGGTGAGGGCAGGAGAGACTAAACTGGCGTACATGGAAAGTCAAATCAGAAAGCAACCATAGGAGTTCTGCCGTGTGAAATCGAAGACTAATTTCTGGTATTCGAAGCTACGTGACTTGCGTGTCTTGGAAAGCAGCTGTCCTGGAGATTGATTAGTTATGAGTTAGGCCACGCAGGTTCAGTTTTGGTCCCCTTTTCTATCTGCTGAGCTGAAACTTGATCTCATTTGATTTTTTTATCTTTTTAATTTTTCATCATTGGAATGGTTGTTTCGGGTTAGGTGCTTCTTTTCGTTTCTGAAAATGATTTCTTCACGTAATGTTTGAAAAATAAAATCCTGTTTGTTTTTTTGGTTTTAAAAATATTTTTTAAAATTTAAAACTTTTATTTTTTAATTATTTTTTTAGTATTTTCAAATCATTTTAATGGGTTAATCTCAAAAATAAATTTTAAAAAATAAAAAAATATATTATTTTAGTATATTTTTAAACCAAAAATTCTTTAAAAACCAACTAAACAAACGGAATATTCAATCTAGCTATCATGCTTTCAGTGGAAAGTAAACTAACTAGGCATACCAACTAAAAACGAATGTCAATTTGTTGCCTATCAAGTCAAGCGGTGCATCGAATCTAATCAATGAAGAAAGAAATGACTGACCCCATCTTGGTCAATAGAATGTTATTATCCTTAAAAATCAACTACTCTCCTGGATTACAAATTGGAAATCAATTTTTTTTTCCCAATAGCAGGTGGTTTTCTATCTGGCGTCTATCTTAATAATAATAATAATATGCTTAAATTAACTTGTGTTGATGTTGCTCTAATACCTACTACTGCACCAAACAACGATGGCGGCAAAGGAAAGGCACCTTGTCAACATAGAAGTGAGAAAAGGAATATGCTTCATCTCTGGCTCGAAGGGAAGTTACCATGGGTTAAACATGCATCCATTGTCTAAACCTTCACGTCTTTTCGTTCTTTGTCTAGGTTTCAGGGCATTGACAAAAGAGTTCTTTGACCTAAGGATTCGAACAAGATTACAGCTATTCTCTTACTTTGCTACGTTCTCATTACTGCTAGATCAGCATGCATCTCCGTATCATGGCTCGAGTTTATTAGCAGAGTATAGCTCATGAGGTACGTGCGTTCGCTTCTTCTTCTTCTTCTTCTCATTTCTCCACGATAAAGCCTTCTTGTTTCGGTCATTGATATTTTGGATCTATGGTCATAATTAATATTGTTTATTATATAGAACATTGATATCTGCTTTTAATTACTGCTTGTTCGGCTTGGGAAGCTTAGATTACATTTTCCTCTAATTTTTTCTTTTCTTCTTTCATGATAAACCCAGAATTTTCCATTACAAATTAAGCATGAAAAACATTAGGTTAGGAATTAAGACTTGTTTAATATGCACCTGGCTAGGTTATTTAAGCACGGATAAAGTTTTTAGATTTTTAAACAGCTAATTTAGATACGTAATTCTATATATAATATACTTTTTTTATTATCTTGATTTTAACATATTAAAGCATTTAAAAATCATTTGTTCTTGTACAATGCGATGTAATGGTGTTAGAATGCAAATTTATTTATTAAATTTCAGCTGTTCTATTTTAAGGCAAAAATTGAAGTCAAAACCTTTAATTTTTTTCTAACAAGCCATGAGATTGTATTTTCCTGATAGAGAAATTGGATTCTTTCTTGTTACTAATATAGTAAAACTATAATATTTTTTCTGCTTGCATCAAAATCAGATATTGCATTCTCTTTGTTTTTTAAAATATTAAATGTATAATTTTTTATCTTTCTTCTTTGTCTCATATAAGATTCTTAAAATTGAAGCAATTCAATATGATATTATGACTATGGTATATAAATTATTTACGTGTCAATATATTTAAGTTTTAACCAATTAATTATCTCCTAAATCTGTCATTATTTTTAATTTAATATTTTAGATCAGATGAGAGAGGAAATAGCAAGTCCTTGAGGTGTTGTCATTTTTTACATGCACTAAATCATGTTTATTTGTCTTAAATTTAATCATTTAAATTAATTAAGGAGAAATATGAAGAATAATAGAAAATTTGGGAGAGGATCGCAATCTATATAAATTCTACATATATAGTATTATGAGTTTATTTATTCTTATGTTTTAAAAGTGTTTTTTGAAAAAAATAATTTTTTTATTTTTTATTTCAAATTAATTTTTTTATATTTTTAAATCATTTTAATGCGTTGTTGTTAAAAATAATTTTTTTAAAAATAAAAAATATTATTTTAATGTATTTTCAAATAAAATAATACTTTAAAAAATAACTGTGCAAAAAATCTAGAGGACTAATCCTTAGGAAATAATACTTTAGAAAAAAAATCTAGAGGACTAATCCTTAGGAAATTTATCAAATCCACAAGTGCTTCAATAGACGAACATTACTGGTTTAAAAAGTATAATTCAACCGTGGATTTATGATTTAATCGGTGATTGATAAATTGGAAGATTGAGAATGCTAAATTAATTGGATAGATTAGAAACCCATTGATTGACATTTATGTATCTGTCTCCCAAAAGCTTCTGTAGAAAAAATCCTTTTGATATTTTAGATTTAAAAAATTAAAAAGAAAGAGGATCACGATCTGTATTTAGAAAGTAAAATTTAACCATGTATGGGTGGCCTAATTGGTATTTGCGTGTCTTTTTCCAAGAGCTTCTCTCGATCAAATCTCTTCATTATACGTGCCGACCGTCAACAAAATTCTTTGCCTAGATGATCTATATTTCTATGTATTATGATTTTCTCATGATTCTTATACCTTTTCAATCTCCGGAACACTTCTGATATCCCTATCGGAGAATAGCCCAGCAACTGTTATCCAACTTTTGAAATTAAGGTTCTAGTTTTTTATCAAGTTATCTAGATGAGAATGGACTCTTGGCAGCGCAAGGGCTCCCATAGTAGTAATTTAATCTGTGTTTCTCCTACTAATTAATACAAAAACCACACACAAGCATGGCCTTTCTTCAATTACCTGGATTCTGGCCTAACTATCTCATGCACCAAACAGTCGTGGCTAGAAAGTAAAGAAATCACACGTAATACACGCAAAAAATTGAAAAACCAGTCAACTTATTTATGTATATATGTATATCATAAGCTTTCAGGTCTACATTCTCGACAGAGTGCAGGAGGCAAAATTTGTTTCCTTTTTGGTAAATGCAGAGAGTAATGAGCATTGCAGCAAATTTGGCATAATTATTGGACATTAAGTCCTATAATAAGGTGTCTGGTGCAGAGAGAGAGAGAGAGAGGCAAGAATTGATCATTTGACATCATGGGTTCTGGCAAAATTTTGTGCACGATATTGTCTTTGTTTTCACAATTCATGGCTGCATTCTCTAATTTGCAGCAGAATGAGAATCCAAGCATGGGTTTTCATGGAGGTGGGAAAGGAACTGGCAGCAGCTTGTTGTCCGAAGGGGTGCAATTGCATATTCAAAAAGACTATGTAACTCTCTGTTTGGACTGATTTTCGTCAATCGATTCTTGTTTTCGAGCAGCAGTGAAAAATAATGGAGTCTGATCCGCTGTTATGTAATAATGAGAGGGTTATCTACATATGCAGGTGGTTTTGGACAATGGCATACTCCAGGTCACATTATCAAATCCAGGAGGGCATGTCACGGGAATACAGTACAATGGCCTCGAGAATTTGCTCGAAACTGACAATGGTGAATCTAATAGAGGGTAAGCACTTTGTCCAAATGCTTTAGTCTTTTCTCCTCTTTTTTAATCACCAATGACCGTTCTTACTTTAAATTTATTTGCAGCAAAATCCCCACCACCAAATAATTTTTTTCTCAACAAAAAAAGAGTTATGTACCTGTTATTAGCCTCATAAGTCATAATAAGTTCGTGGCTCTTTTTTTTTTTTTTTTGATGGTTAATTAAGCTCATGACTTCATGTTTACAATAGGTACTGGGACGTTGTTTGGAGCGGGGAAGGAGTTACACGAAAAAAGGGTGATTTGGACAGGTATAAATGCTTCAAAATCTCTCGGGCAATAACTAAAACTACACAGCAGAATGATACCTGAAATGTTCGGAAAAAGATGTTTGAATTCTCCAATTCTGTAGCATGTTTGTTTCAATCAGCACTCATATTAACTTCAGTGGTTGTATTGTACTACGCAGACTGGACGGAACCAATTTAACTGTAGTAGTTGAAAGTGAAGAAAAAGTTGAGATCTCCTTCACGAGGATGTGGAATTCCTCACTTCAGGCCAAGGTTGTCCCCTTGAACTTCGATAAAAGGTATTTCTGCTCGGAATAGTCTTAAAGCTATCAACCTCTTATCACTTATTCAGGATTGATTGTGATATTAATCAAGTTTAATGAGACGAAATCGTTTTCTTTTTTTTTTGCCTTCTTCTTCTTTTGAATGAATGCAGATACGTAATGCTTCGTGGGTCATCAGGATTCTACACATATGCCATTTATGAACATTTGAGGGGCTGGCCTGCTTTTGATCTTGCTAATACCAGGATCGTGTTCAAGCTTACTAAGCAAAAGTACGGCACTTAAGTTTTCTAGCTTAATTAGTGCGAGATTCCGTTTTCTTGACAAAAGTTTTTGGACGCAGGTTTCGCTATATGGCCATAGCAGACAACAGACAACGTTATATGCCCCTGCCTGAAGACCGGTCACCAGAGAGAGGACAGACTCTAGCCTATCCAGAGGCAGTCTTACTTGTCCATCCCATAGAGCCTGAATTTGAAGGAGAGGTATCATTTTCTACTTATTTTATTATATTCTATTGGTGGGTATTTTGTTTAAGTTCTAGGGATGGTGAGGACCGAGGAGGGATTGAGGAGCAGGGATGGACGAATTTGGAGGAGACAGGGGTAGCCCCCAAATTTTATTTAATGTATTTTTAAATAAAAAATTTTAAAAAACAATCAAATTTTATTTAATGCATTTTTAAATAAAAAAAAATTAAAAAAAAAAACAATTACTATCATAATAACATACAAACTACTAAAATTAAAATGATAACGCAACACCCCTCCCAAATCGGAACGAGAGGTTCTAGCTCACGGGAGGATCACTATTCTTTGTATATACTCCTTTTTTTTTCTTTTTATTTGTCATGGTAGCAACACACGTGAGTGTTGCAGCAGATAACATTTTGTGTGGCGAATGAATTTTGGTTAGGTGGATGACAAATACGCATATTCCTGCGAGAGCAAAGACATAGGTGTTCACGGGTGGATATCGGCCGATCCGCTTATTGGTTTCTGGCAAATTACACCGAGCAATGAGTTCAGAACGGGTGGACCCCTCAAACAATTCCTAACTTCCCATGTGGGCCCCACTACTCTTGGCGTAAGTCAAGATTTTCCTTCATTTGGTCCATGACCACGAACACCAGCAAAATGCTAGCTTTCTGATGCGCTTGCTCACCACCAGGTAATGCATAGCACTCATTATGCGGGAGCGGACATCACAATAAAAATCGGGCCTAACGAGCCATGGAAGAAAGTGTACGGCCCAGTTTTTGCTTACGTCAATTCTCTGTCGGATGGAAGGGACCCCCTCTCACTCTGGAAAGACGCTAAAAAACAGGTATTTTTTCACACAGCCTTCGTCAAGTTACTCCAGGAAAAATCCCGAATCACGAGATTTGCTGCTACGTCTCACTAATTTAATGATTCCGATCCTTTGAGAAGTGATTTCAAGAAGGATGTTTGGTAGAATTATTAGCAGTACTCGTTTTGGATTATCTTAAGCACCTATACTTAGCAATTGGACTATCTGCTGGAAATAGAGAGAGTAACAAACATCCAATTTGATTAGATGATGAATGAAGTTCATATGTGGCCCTATGACTTCATAGCTTCAGAAGATTTTCCATCATCAAAACAACGGGGTAGTGTCGGTGGCAGATTACTGGTCCTAGAGAGGTAAATTCATGTCAATTTTCCAGCAGAGAACAAATCGATCAAAGTTTATTAGTTACAATTTACACGGTTTATACTCGCCTAGGTACGTTTCCAACGCAACGATACCTGCAGAAGGTGCTTATGTGGGGCTGGCAGCCCCGGGAGAAGCTGGCTCCTGGCAGCTAGAATCCAAGGTGACCAAATTTTTTATAGTATTTCTAACTTTTTGGGTATAGCATCGAGCTGCTCATACAAGCTTAACACACATTTTTCACATCTGGCTACCAGGGCTACCAATTTTGGAACAAAACAGATGAAGGTGGAAATTTCACAATCAATGGCATACGGCCCGGTGACTACAATCTTTATGCATGGGTCCCTGGTTTTATTGGAGATTACAAATTTACTTCTCTCATCAACATAAACTCAGGTCTTAATTCTTCTTCCACCCTTAATTAATCTTTTAATTTCTTGTTTTGTATATCTGATGGTTATGAATGTTGAACGTGCAAAGCAGGCTGTAACATTGATATCGGTGATCTTGTATATGAGGCTCCAAGGAATGGCTCCACGTTGTGGGAAATAGGTTTCCCTGATCGTTCTGCCGCAGAGTTTTACATTCCTGATGCAAACCCAAAATATATCAACAAACTTTATCTCAAACAGGAAAGGTTAGCTCCTCTGGTTTGTCTCAAGCGATCAGTAATGGGTACCAACAATATTGGTTTTATTAGCTAAGGTTATCGAGCACGAGTGTGTTAATAAGCTCTTCTTGCTAGCAGGTACAGACAATATGGATTGTGGGAAAGATATGCAGAGTTATATCCCACTGCGGATTTGGTTTTCACAGTTGGCAAGAGTAACCATACAACAGATTGGTTTTTCGCTCAAGTTACAAGGTTTCTATTTTAAAATATTAATTAGTAGCTTCACTACGTAATTTCTAACTGGTAGTTGCAGGCCAAGATATGGGGCTCTTTTTTTATTGTTGTTATTGTTGTTGTTGAATAAAGCAGTCAATTTCCTCTGTATCTGCATTGCAGGAAGAAGGATAATACCACGTATGAAGGCACTACATGGCAAATAAAGTTCTTGCTGGATGAAGTGGATGAGCGCGCCGCATATAAGCTACGCTTGGCGCTTGCAACAGCTAATGTTGCCGAATTGGAGGTATAATACAGCTTCAAAGTCTTCATTTTCCTGATGAATGTGAAGAGATGGTGTTCCTCGGTAATGATCCTCCTGACCAAGAACTTTTTTCTTTCTTTCTTTTCAAGGTTCGGGTGAATGAGCCGAATGCAAATCCTCAGTTTTCAACGGGAGAGATTGGCAAGGATAACACGATCGCAAGACATGGGATTCATGGGCTTTACAGGCTATTCAATGTTGATATTCCCGGAGCTCAGCTTCTGATAGGAAATAATACCATTTTTCTGACACAAACAGCCAGTATCAGCCCTTTCCAAGGAGTTATGTACGATTATATTCGCTTAGAAGGTCCATCACCACCACATTAAACCCTTCAGGAGATATGATTTTTTTTAGGGAAAACATTAGCTAGCTCTATTTCTTCAAACGATTATTGGCAGAAATCATAATACAGGCGTCCACCTTTTTTTGTTTTCTAACTAGTCATTTGAAACACGATACTTCATGTTTTTTTTTTCCATTATAAAAAAGAAAAAGTTAAGGCAACGTAAACATCTTCAAAGAAGCAAAACAAATAGAGAATTGGGTAATTAACTTGATCTGATTCAATAGCCGGCATAATTTTGATAATATAAATAAAAAAACTAAAGACAAAAGAGGTAAAAAATTAGCGGATAATGGTAATTTTGATAATTTTAATCATGGTTAGAATGAAAAATCTACGATATAGTGGTGATAATGGTAACCTATTCAAAAGTAAATTAAAAGTTCAAGTATCAAACAATATTAAATAGAAAAATAAAAAAATAAAAGCAATGAGAAAAAAAAAAGATTTTAATCAAATTAAGTTAACTTGTTCATCCCGAGACCATAACCATAAGATTGAGATAATTTCAGGGGAAAAACACACAAAGATCATTTTTTAAAAAATTAAATATTAAAAGATGAGATTGAAAAAAAACAAATTTAATAAAAATTTTATAAAAAAAACAAAGTTAATTCGTGTTAATTTTTGAAACTTATAACTCTTGAAACTTGTAACTCTAGTCACGAGTTCAAATTAAACTCATACAAGGTAAACCCAAAAACAACAATGGAGTAAAATTCTCAATCATAAAACATTAAGTAGTGAAATTTGAAGAAAAAAATGCAATTAAAAAAAGGAGTAATAACAAAACAAAGAGCAATAACAAAAGGCAAATAAAATTTGACATAAATATAAAATAAAATCAAATGTTGAGTAGGGATGTTAATGAGTATCCACGAGGGTCAGATTTATTGATATTTATACCTTACCTATTTTCCATCATGTAAAAAATTCAGATATTCATAAATTATCCATTGACCTTCAAGTATTCATATGGATATTAATCATATCACATTGTATTAAAAAAAATCTAAATATCCAATAAATATATCTATATAATATAAATATACATTGCATGATAGGTTCAAGCGAGTTTCAAATCAGTGTATGATAGGTTCAAGCGAGTTTCAAATCAGTTTTGATAATATCCATATTATATCCATTGAATTTGAATTAAATTTTCATCACTAATACTGAAGGATAAAATTATCTATCCGTATGAGTATTTATTATCTTCCTATTATTTATTAAAATGATATTATTTTGTTTTTTTAAATAATACCTAGTTAGTTTTGGGACATGATGATTGGATCATGGATTAACTCATTATATCAAATAAATTGAATTAAGTTAATATTATTTTTTGTTCAAATTAAAACTTGACTTAGATTAGACTTCAAGTCATGATTTTTTCAAATCAACTTGCTTGATTGGATAAAGTTCAATAATTATATTTTGAAATGGAAAATGTATGAAAACGTAATTGGAGCTTGCCGCTTAATTTTTTTTTTTAATCATTAGAGTTTAAACCCTAGTTTTAATGTCTGTGCTACATTATGAGCTGTAAATTCAGTCAACAAATAGAGTTTTTTCAAATAGTGTTTTTTCAATATATATATATATAAAATCTATTATCCGTGCACAATCTAATTTACTTCCAATACTTAGGCTGTTATCACTACACATGATAATAATATAAGTAGTCAGTATTGCATCTTTTACATGAAAAAAAAAATTATGTTCGAAAAAATATCACGAAACTAGTGTGTCAGGCAAATATTTTTTCTTTATATTATTTTGTCAAGACTTTCTTCAGTTAAAAACTCCTTTATTTATTCATACATATTTTCAACAATTTTTTTTTTAATTTGAAGTATTGCTTTTTTCAATAAAAAGTTATAGAATTTGAAAATAAAGTTTTAATATAAAGACATGATATATTTTTATGCAAACGTATATGAAGACGAAGGAATAATGAAATTCAAAGAATTTTATAAAAAACAATGAAAACAAAAAAAGTATTTGCAATGAATATTCATTCTTGCAGGGACATATAATAACTATAGAAATTCTAATTGTTCTTCAAAATTTATGAGTAGATAACTAGTTATGCTAAAACATTATATCTAAAATAAGTTGTTTCTTATTTTTTTTTTAATGAATTAAAATGCCTTTCCTGCATACATGCTAGAATCTTATCTAAAATGTTATATTTTGATCATTGAACGTGTAGAACTTCTAAATCCTAAGGCATTGATGTGAGATCTAGCCTCGACAACAAGGCACAATTCATCTTTTAAATACAGATATTGGGACCCAAGAAGAATGATTTATTTGATTTTGATCCTATTTTATGTGCTAAATAGATCTGAAAACTCTGTGTGCACATGACGAATCTATTTTGGATTATGTGATCTAACCCATATTTATTAGGAATACATACTTGTTTAATTACCTTTAATATGATTTCCTAGGAAAAACATACATACATACATACATACATACATACATATATATAATTAGTATTTACAATCCTGAAATCGATTTTAAGCTATGAGAAAAATACAGATATATGTTGAATTAAATGGACGCCAAAATGCAATGATAAATTAATGACCACCTACACAACTAGTCTATCCTTAATATGGAATTTGAGGGATAATTTTATTTTAATCCATAGTTTCTATGCTAGTTTTAAGTTACGCGGGGATTCAAATCTTATAAATTAATAGAAAATCAATATTCACATATAAATTTGGCATATTTATTTTTAATGCGACATCGAATGAAAAAACATTATTAGAATTTATAATTCTTGAATTGATTTTAAGCTACGAGAATAAAAAACTATAGGTACATGCAAACGCAAAAATAATGATTTTAAGTTAAATGCCGTTAATTAGAAAACTGTTTGATTGTGCTATGAATTAGTTTTCTCAAAAATAAAATAAAAAATAGATAATATAATTTTCTTTCTTGATGATCTACTTCTTTTATAAACCAGTACGATCCTTCTATCAACTTCCATTAGTGATGGTCTTGATGAAAGCTGATTAAAGTATAGAATGATTGCAGAAACAGAAACAAGGAGTGAGGGATGACATTAGGATAAAAACTAGCTAGAAGAAGGACCAAATACAGATAAAATTAAAAGTAGGGAGACTTAATACGCCATGAATTCATCAACGAAGAACAATACTTCCCATCAATTCTTTTCTTTCTCATCGCCTTATTATTCTATACTGTGGCTTCCTGCTTAGAGACCCCTGCACGACTGAATCCAATTCACCAAACATGTTGGAGGTGACAAACGTAAGTGATCCTTCAAGTAAAAGAATACTTTCTCTATCATTCAAAGATTTGCTCGAGGACAAGCAAATATTGTAAGCCTTTACACTTGTATAAATTTGTCCAAATTTCTACGCAGTAACAGTACATGAACAAGACTTCCCCTCTTATAATTGATGTCTTTGTAGCGCTTGGATTGCTCGCTATAAATTTGTTTCCTTCACTTCTTTGCTTGTGAAAGACAGCTAAGTCTAGAGTATTTCTACTATGGTTTTCTAATTGTCTCTTTGTCTGTAGTGTTTTCTAATGTCTGAAGGAAGGGTTTCTTTTAGGAAAGGGATTCAGATGAAGAAAAATGAGATTCAAGATACAAGTATAAAATAAATAAAAAAAAGGAAGTTTAGTAAGAAAAATAAAAAAGTAATGCTTCAATTATTTTTTTTACGTGGGAGTGTGAAAAAAATAAAAAATAAAAAATATCAGGTAAATAATAATAATAAATAATATAGAGAGAGAGAGTATTCATATACAATTTAAAAAAAAAACTATTCATATAGTCTCGTATATAGAGAGAGAGTATTCATATACAATTTTAAAAAAAAACTATTCATATAGTCTCGTATATAATTATTCAAATAAAAGTGTAAGTTTTACAACCAAAATCTAAAATCTTACTTATAAAGCATAAATAATTGAATAATTTCTTAAATTCATTATTTTTATTTATCTAAAAAACAAATATAATAAAGCCTGAAATATGAAACGGGGACCTTTAAAAGCTTGTTTAGAAATGTAATTACGGATGCTCAACTTCTTAAATTCATTATATTTATTTATCTAAAAAACAAATATAATAGAGCTTGAAATATGATACGGGGACCTTTAAGAGCTTGTTTAGAAATGTAATTACGGATGCTTTTCAAATAACTTTGTGTTTTGAAATATATGTCAATGATTTTTTTATTTTTAAAAATTATTTTTGATATTAGTTAAAAATTATTTTTGCCATTATCCGATCAAAATGATTTGAAAATATTAAAAATATATTAATTTAAAATAAATAAAAAATAATTTTTTAACTATACATGTTTTTTTTTAAATAATAAATGACATGTCATTTATTGTAATGAATTTTGATCACCTCATGTAGCTGGAAAATTAGGATTGATGCTTTTTTTCCTTTGAAAACCTAATTTTTAACTCTTTTCAACTAAAAAAATTAAAAAACAAAACTTTTTTGGAAATTTCAATAACTTCATTTTAATTTAAAGCCAAAACACACTTTTATTAGCTTAAATATTAAAATTCAAATCAAATCAAATCAAGTTTTCTGAACTTCGATTTTTTTCTTTTTTTTGTATTATTAAAGATTTAAACAACCTTCATTAAACTTTTCCCATCAAATTAGCTAACCCATTGAATTGAGTTTTTGATTGTGAAATGTGGTTGTTTGAAAGCTTTTTCTCTCATATCCCTTCGCGGTAGTGTTCTTTCTCATCTATTAATTAATTAATAGGTATTGAAATGTAAAATGAAGGAAGTTTGATGATTGAAATTTAAATTTTGAAAAAAAAAGAAGATCAAACTATGACGTGCCTCCTAAATAGTGAAAATGTATAAAGCAACTCTATTAATTAATTAATAGGTATTGCTTCAAAATGCTGTTCGTTGCCAAGTTAGTGACAAATCGAAATAAACTAAAATGAAAAAATTATAGAATGAGGGATGGCATTAGGATAGAATGATTGCAGACACAGAAACAAGGAGTGAGGGATGGCATTAGGATAAAAACTAGCTAGAAGGACCAAATAAAGAAAAAATTAAAAGTAGGGAGACTAGATACGCCATGAATTCATCAACAACGAAGAACAGTACCTCCCATCAATTCTTTTCTTATGGCCTTATTAATATTCTATACTGTGGCTTCCTACTTAGCGACTCTTGCACGACTGAATCAAACTCACGAAACATGTTGGAGGTGACAAAAGTAGGTGATCCTTCAAGGAAAAGAATACTTTCTCTATAATTCAAAGATTTGCTCGTGGACAAGTAGAGTCTTGTAAGCCTTTACACTTGTATACGTATGTCCAAATTTCTAAGCAGTAATGAACAAGACGTCCCCTCTTAAAATTGATATCTTTGTAAACTGCTCGCTATAAATTTGTTTCCTTCTCACTTCTTTGTTTGTGGAAGACAGCAAGCAAGTCCAGCTCATCATGTCAACTCCTAGGGTGCAGTTGCTCATTGAAGATCAACATGTAAGTAGTTTACTTCATAAAAACTTCGTTCATGTATTCGTTTGATATTAAAATATTATAGGTGGGGCAATCTGGTTATGCAGGTGGTTATGGATAACGGCATTCTTCAAGTCACACTATCAAACCCAGGAGGACTCGTTACTGGCATTCAGTATAATGGTATAGACAATTTGCTTGAAGTTCTTGACGTGGAAACTAACAGAGGGTATGTATGTGACACCATTTATATTAAAATAAAATAATATTTATTGAACTTTTTAAAATGTTGAATCATAAATGAGTACACAAAATTATTTCCCATGCATCCAACTGGGCAGCCAAATTTTCTATGACAAAAGCAAGAGTCTACAAGTTAGTTGATTCAAAATTGTTGCTGTGTTGGATTGGATTAGATATTGGGACCTTGTTTGGAGTCAAGCAGGAAGCACAGGAACAACAGGAACTTTTGACGTGTACGTCCACTTTCTATCTACATGAACAAGCCATAAATACGCTCTTCTTCCTCTAGGTTATAGCCTCATTTCGATTATCTAAACACTCAGGTTTGAAGGAACAACTTTTAGGGTTATAGTGGAAAATGAAGAGCAAGTAGAAGTCTCATTCACAAGAACATGGGATCCCTCCCTTGAAGGCAAATTCGTTTCCTTGAACTTGGACAACAGGTGCATTCCTGAACTATCCATTTAAGTTCTCCTCGTAAATAAATATTAAAAAAAAAAGTCACCCCGACGAAAATCACATATTCAATATTGGTCAGAAAAGTTGATGGTACGTAGAAATGGTGCTGTGATGTGTTTTTTCAGGTTCATAATGCTCAGGAATTCTTCAGGATTTTATTCCTATGCCATTTTTGAGCATTTAGCAGACTGGCCTCCTTTCAACCTCCCGCAAACCAGAATTGTCTTCCAGCTCAGAAAAGACAAGTAGAGATATTATATACAGCTTAATTAACATTTACTTTTTTTTAATGAGCCTGAAATATTTGTGGGGATTTGGAGGTTGTGTTAATTTAAGTAATTAACTAACAATGGGAATTTATGGGGGCTTATAGGTTTCACTACATGGTCGTAGCAGACAACAGGCAAAGATTCATGCCACTTCCTGATGACAGGCTACCTGAAAGAGGTGAGCCCCTAGACTTTCCCGAAGCAGTCTTGCTTGTTGACCCAGTGGAGCCAGAGTTCAAAGGAGAGGTACCTATTCCACCATCATCTTATTTTGAATTTGCTTCTCCGTCAGTTAATTAGCCGGCACTGATGATCAATTACTAATTTGGAATCCTGATATCTTAACTATAAGATGTGTACAGATGTCCATAGTTTCGTGTTATGATCTTACAAATGGGTGGCATCTAAATTTCTTGTTTGCAGGTAGATGACAAGTATCAATACTCATGTGAGAACAAAGATCTCCATGTTCATGGGTGGATTTGCTTTGATCCACCCACGGGGTTCTGGCAAATCACACCTAGCAGCGAGTTCCGATCTGGTGGACCACTCAAGCAGAACCTTACCTCCCATGTTGGACCCTATACTCTCGCAGTAAGTCACCCATTGCACTCTTAATTTGATTTTCCTGCTAAGCAGAATAATCGCATCAGTCATATACTTTAAAGCTTTAGTTAGACTTTTAATTTGGTCACAGACAACATAGATGTGTGTTTCATGTGATAACTTCGTAAATGCCTCAGAAATTAGTATGAAAATTGATGTAACCTCTAATTATTGCCACGCACAACCAGATGTTTCTCAGTGCTCATTATGCTGGAGAGGACCTTGTGCTAAAACTCAACCCTGGTGAACCGTGGAAGAAGGTTTTTGGACCTGTTTTTATGTATCTCAACTCTGTTGTGGATAAAGATAATGCACTTTCCCTTTGGGATGATGCTAAGGAACAGGTTCAAAGCATAGAACTTTTATTTATTTATTGATACATTCAGAATCAATTTTGGCTTCCTATACTACACGCAATAACACAAATTTCTATCTTAGTATTTGAAGGAAGTCCACTGTTGGCCGTACAGCTTCCCAGCTTCTGAAGATTTTCCATGCTCCGATCAACGTGGTAAAATCAGTGGCAGGTTACAAGTCCTAGATAGGTATTTACTTCTTAGTTCCTTGTGACTTCATTTTTCTGGAAAAACGACAGCATTTTTGGTTCTCTAGATGAGCCTTTTCCTTTTCCTTGAGTTGTCTAATACCCCTAGGATTTCTTAAAGTAGTTCGTTGCCCTCTTTTGCTATTATTTTCCCATGCTAGGGAAATGAAATGAACCTTCTATGTATGGGCTTGGTAGGTATATAAGCCATGAATGCATAGCTGCTAATGATGCTTATGTGGGGCTAGCACCGCCAGGAGATGTTGGATCGTGGCAAAGAGAATGCAAGGTGATCTAATTTCCCTAGCATCTTAAACAGATCAATTCAAGACAACATAGACTATTTCATCAATAAATATCGATTTTCAGCGTTGCTTATTCATCATGCTATCAAGTGGATCTTAAATCTTATGCTTATTAGGGATACCAATTCTGGACCAAAACAGATGGGGACGGCTCTTTCTGTATTGGCGATATACGCACTGGCGACTACAATCTTTATGCATGGATTCCTGGTTTCATCGGCGATTACCGAAATGATACTGTTATTACAGTAACTGCAGGTCTTAATATTTCACAATCTGCTTCACTCCGTTAACATCCTCAATTCTGTAGTATACATCATCCAGCATATTGTCTGATAACATGCAAGGCAGGTTGTGAAATCGATGTTGGTGATCTTGTATATGAACCTCCAAGAGATGGTCCAACAGTGTGGGAAATAGGCATACCAGATCGATCTGCTGCAGAGTTTTACATTCCTGATCCTAACCCAAAGTATATTAACAAACTTTTCATCAACCATCCTGACAGGTTAGCCCTTGTTATTTTAATTGTCAGGAACAAACTACCAGGGCAGTTGATTGATTGTTGCTGTGATGTTCGGTAAAGTTCCGACTGTTCTTTTATATTTTCAGGTTTAGGCAGTATGGGCTGTGGGAAAGGTATGCTGATTTATATCCTGATGGGGATCTGGTATACAGAGTTGGTCTCAGTGACTACAAGAAAGATTGGTTTTTCGCTCAAGTAAACAGGTTCAACTCTACCATACTGGGTTTCAATTTCACTAATCAAGTCACATATTTGCGTTGTCTATCAACCATGACAAACCTATGGACAACAAATAAATCGTCCAAAGATGCAACAAATTCTCTGATGAGCCGGTCCTGCCCTGTCACATGGTCTTTCGCCATAATAAATCTTCCAAAGATGTAACAAATTCTCTGGTCCTGCCCTGTCACATGGTCTTTCGCCATGAAAATGATAGTCTAATGCTTAGCTAGCGGATAATTCGTGTCCACTATGAGCTAATGGTTGTTCCAAAATAGATGCAAGGAATTTAGGCTTGATGTTTAGTGCACTGCAGGAAGAAAGATGACGGTACATTAGAAGGAACGACATGGCAAATCAAGTTCAAGCTGGACGATGTAGATCAAAGTGGTGCGTTCAAGTTACGATTGGCACTGGCAACAGCCAACGTTGCAGAACTGCTAGTATGGACTTGACAATCGATAGAACTCTCTTGTATGATTACTTTCAATGTTTTTTCCTCCAACTTTCTTTGCCTGTGGATTTAAACTGTTTTTATTCTTAAAAGGTTCGGATAAACGATCCAAAAATAGATCCTCCCCATTTTTCAACCGGAGAAATTGGGCATGACAACACAATAGCAAGGCATGGAGTCCATGGCCTCTACCGCCTTTACAATGTAGATGTGCCAGGCACTACGCTTGTGGAAGGAGAAAATACCGTGTTTCTGACACAAACACCTAGAACCAGCCCTTTGCAGGGCATCATGTATGATTATATTCGCTTAGAAGGCCCTCCACCACCTGATTCCAAGGAGACACTTTGATTTTATCTTTCTTCAACATTCGACAGGAAGGATAAAACATCGACTTGGAATGTTTGCACAAGGAATTTATTGTTCTTTTCCTTTATTCTTTTTTTTTTTTTTAATCTTGTGTAATGAACGTCTTTCCTTCTTCCTTGGTAATACCAGCTTCTTCAATTTGTGATACTTCCCCGTTATATGTCATAATACTGTATAAGTGCGTGCCAATCACAGGCTACCTTACTGCATATCCAAATTAGTAAATTATTGGATGATTCCTGTGTTAGGTTCCCAGCACTCCTCTGTGGTGGTGACAAAACAATAATAATAAAATAATAATTGAAATGCTACACTCTATTTCTTGGGAAAGTGTGATTTGAATTGAAGTGGAGGATGCTGTAAAAATTCGTCCGAACTTGGCATAAAAATGCTACTCAAATTTTTCTCAGTTAGAATTAATCTTAGAAATATGATTAAAATCGTGTTTCTTACAAATTTTAAATTTTAGTTTTGCTGAAAATTAATTTTTTTTATGTGTTCATATCATTTTAACATGTTGAAATTAATAATAATTTTAAAAAAATATGTTATTTTAATTTGTTTTCTAATAAAAAATACACTTTAAACCATAATCATTATCAAAATCTTAAATACCCTCTGGATATTCATTCATCATCCAGAAATAAAGTGATTGTGTAAATTAAACGGGATACTCGCCAAAATGGGCAGAAACGAATACCGAGAGAGAAAGAAATCCAATCATGAACTAGGGGCCTTCTCAAACAGAGCAACGAGACTCACTAAGGGGTGGGCTTGGGTGTTTAGTAGACTTTTTTAGCCTTGTGATTATGAATGCTAGTTCCTTCACTGGACTTTGGAGAGGCCACGTATTATAATAAAAAAAAAATATAAAAATTATTTTTTATCTTGCTCTTAATAACTTAGATTTTTTAATTGAAATTATGAAAACCTTATCAAATAGTAATATCAAATTTTACTATTTCTATTTTTTTTATTAAAAATTAAATTCATATAAAACAATATGAATCTATACAAATTTCAATTTTTTTTAAAAAAATAAGAAAATAATATAAAATTATTTTTAAGATTTTATTTATCTATCTTTATACAGATTAGCTCCACTTGTGAAAGATAACATGAGCTTCTGTCCCAATATCATCACGGTAGAATTCCTCATCTCTCGATTGTGCTTCCCAGCCATTTTGAGAATCAAGCAAAATAAAGATTACAAGCAAATTAAAGGTTTAATTTGCCAAGACAGATTCCCTTTGACAAATTCTACACGCATGCTTGTGATATAAACAAATTAAACAATTTGAACAGATCGTATCTTGTTCATGTGTATTTCATGGTGTTGCAAGCCTTAGCATCATGACATCATCCATCCTGTAGGCCCCTAAGCGCTGGTTGTGGCGTTAGGCTCACACATTGTCTAATGTCGATGACTTTTGATGTGTGCCAAAGACTTTTGCACATGGCGGATCTTGAAAGGTTCTCTAATGCGCCAAGCGGTGGTGACGACTGAGTAAAGAATTTGCAAATACACCAAGCTCGTATAGATGCTTGGCCCCTAGTCTAAGTGAACTAAAGGCAAAATTATATATGGATCTCTTACAAGTCATATAACCTCAATCCTTTGCATTAAGATTGAAGAGGTAAGACTTGAGATCAGACCTTTCATATTGGCCCGTACTTGTGTTTGCTTAGAAAATTAACTGCTGCCTCAGTTACAAGATCAAAATCGTTATACCTCAGAGAGGCTCCACAGCTTCATAAGAGCTCCATCATGTCAAACCAAGGGGTGCAGTTGCATATCCAAGAACGTCATGTAATTCGATTTGCATGCTGCCTTGTTTTTTCTTTTATCTTTTGCGTTTTTTTCCCTATGTTTCTCACTTTTACGTGCAGCCATAAGTTGTGAAAGATGCAAATATGAAGTAAAATGGGATTGGTCTGAATTTTGTACGTGACACTTGAGGAAATTTGTTGTTTAATGCAAGCAGGTGGTGATGGATAATGGCATACTCCAAGTCACATTATCCAAACCAGAGGGAATTGTCACTGGAATACAATATAATGGCATCAGCAATTTACTTGAAGTTCTCAATGATGAATCCAATAGAGGGTACATGGCATTTAAACATAAATCTATTTATCTGTGGGTTCAGTTGCCAGATATTTATACTACTGGTCGGAATATGCAGATATTGGGATCTTGTATGGAGTAAAGAAGGAAGCACAGGAACCACGGGAACATCCGATGCGTATGAAATTGCTTTTCTTTTTAACTGGTTCCATAATGATGTTTCTGGGTTTTTCATTCCGAGTTATTTGCCTTGTTACTCGCTACATTCACTTCATTTTTCGAATTCCTTCTTGTCACATTTCCTCTTTCAGTTTGGTACCAAAATGTTATAGTTACCTAAGTTCTTCCTCGTATGTGCCACCATTCAGGATTAAAGGAGAAAGTTTTAGAGTGGTGGTAGAAAATGAGGAACAAGTAGAAATCTCATTCACTAGAATGTGGGATCCTTCACTAGAGGGCAAGCTTGCTCCCCTGAACATAGACAAGAGGTAATTGTAATTGGCACTGGTTTATATTTTCAACTCAGTCGGCGTGACAAAGGTTAAAAAAGCTGGCGACCTAGGCTTGTGTTAATGTTAACAATAACGATGGCTTTTCAGGTTTATTATGCTTCGTAATTCCTCTGGCTTCTACTCCTATGCCATTTATGAGCACTTCAAGGAATGGCCCGCTTTCAACCTTCCCCAGACCAGGATTGTATTCAAGCTTAGGAAGGACAAGTACGGAAGTTTACTCTAGTTTATACTGTAATAAAATTGTGTCAGCAATACCAGAGTCACTTCAGTGGTTATCAAGCCTACTAACTGCGTTTAGGATGGATTCAAGCTCTATAAACCATATCTAAACCAAAAGAAAGTGAACTTTAAAGTGATTTCTTTTGTTTTGAGCAAATAGGTTTCACTGCATGGCAGTGGCAGATAACAGGCAAAGACGCATGCCATTACCAGAGGACCGGTTACCAAAAAGAGGCGAACCCCTTGCTTACCCTGAAGCCGTCCTACTTGTCAATCCTGTGGAGGCTGAATTCAAAGGAGAGGTAATTCTTCACTATCCCCCCTCCATGTTTAACAGTTTTACATAACTATCTGCTGTGTACTAATTGTTATGGCCAAGAAGCAGGGCTAGTGTCACACAAACAAAGAGGCTGCTGTAAATTCACTTTAAGGAATTCCTTAATTTCTTCTCAATTGAAGTTACTCTGACCTCAAATGATCACGTCATCATATATATTCATTTCAGTTTTGACTGTAATGAAGTGCAGGTGGATGATAAATACCAATACTCATGCGAAAATAAAGATCTTCAGGTTCATGGATGGATATGCCTCAACCCCCCGGTTGGATTCTGGCAAATCACACCCAGCAATGAGTTCCGATCTGGAGGACCTGTAAAGCAAAACCTTAGCTCTCATGTTGGTCCCATCAGTCTTGCTGTAAGTAGTTTGGACTCTAAGAAAAAATTGAGATCTTCCGCTCTAGGACTAAGATGTTTAGCAGTAATTTATGTTCTCACTTGGAACTTTTCTTCAAGGATTGATATCCAGCTCCTGTACCTGATTAAAATGTTCTAAAATCAGATGTTTCTTAGTGCCCATTATTCAGGGGAGGATACGGTGCTGAAACTCAAACCGGGTGAGCCATGGAAGAAAGTTTTTGGCCCTGTTTTTATCTATCTCAATACTTTGTTGGATGATGAAAATGAACCACATTGGCTATGGGAGGACGCCAAGGAACAGGTCTAAGACTCAAAGAAACTCTATACTCCTTTTCCTAGACAAATCATGCTACTAAAATCTTGTAATAAACAATGACTTATGCACGTTAAATATTCAGATGTTAATTGAAGTTCAGAGTTGGCCCTACAGTTTCCCAGCTTCAGAGGATTTTCCATCATCAGAACAACGTGGTTGCGTCAATGGTCGATTGCAAGTTCAAGACAGGTAGATATATTCATTTTCCAGGCTTTATTTTGAAGGCTTGATATGTATTTAATCTGAGCTTGATGTAATAACTAAATTTGTCCAGGTTTATTAGTGATTACTGTATACCAGGCAATGGTGCCTATGTGGGGTTGGCACCTCCAGGAGATATTGGATCATGGCAAAGAGAATGCAAGGTAAATCTATTCCGTAAAAATGTCCCCGTACCGATAGAACACTAGTGAAGAGATAATTCATGCCCTTTTTAGCTCTAATTTAATCTTTATTAATTGCCCTGAGACTGTTTAATAAGCTAACTCAAAGATCTAGACAAAATTGTCGGCAATAAAACAGTTCATTTTCCGATTAATTGTTTAAGTAGAGCAAGACAAGTTAGCCTCCTTACTTCGGAATATCATTATGTTCTTATACATGTGGTTCATTTTCCAGGGCTATCAGTTCTGGACCAAGGCAGATCCAGAAGGATATTTTTCAATTAACGATATAAGAACTGGTGACTATAATCTTTATGCGTGGATTCCCGGTTTTATTGGAGATTACCGAAATGATGAGGTTATTACCATAACACCAGGTGCGGTTTTCTGTCATAACTAATGAACGTCTTTCCTGCCAATACGAGTTACCTTTTAAATTCCGATGCTTTTGGATTTGTCCATTTCACTGTGTGGCAGGTTGTGATCTGGACTTCGGTGATGTTATATACAAACCCCCGAGAGATGGCCCTACATTGTGGGAAATAGGCATACCGAACCGTTCTGCCGCAGAATTCTACATTCCAGACCCCGATCCTAAGTATATCAATAAACTTTATGTCAATCACCCTGACAGGTTCGCTCTCCTTAACGCAGATAATTTACACATTTAAATGATGGAGTTGATTGTTGACATATGGTTTAATGTGAAATCTTCAGAGATAATTTACACTTGAAATCTTCATTTTCTTTTCTCTTCTCAGGTTCAGGCAGTACGGATTATGGGAAAGGTATGCAGATTTATACCCTGATGAAGATTTGGTTTACACGATTGGTACAAGTGACTACGCAAAAGATTGGTTCTTCGCTCAAGTTACAAGGTTTGATTCATCCTACATGTTTTTCTTCATCAGATAAATTTTTGAGAGGGAAATGAATCCAAGACACTTGCATCAGAAAAATGATCGTCATCAGTAGCTCTGTTGTTCAAAGGGTTTGACGTTTTATTCTCAATTAACAAGCTTTCTATGCATTTCAGGAAGAAAGATGACAATTCATATCAAGGAACTACATGGCAGATCAAGTTCAAACTTGACAGTGTACAAAACAGTAGATCATACAAACTACGATTAGCACTTGCAACTGCAAATGTTGCTGAATTGCAGGTATCATTCTTCTTCTTCTTCTTTTGTAACTCCTTTCATTTCCTTTTGGTTTATCCGGATATTAATTTAATATCTAATCACCTCTATTAATTTATTCTTAAGGTTCGCATCAATAGTCTAGAAACAAATCCATGGTCGACTGGAGTAATTGGGCATGACAACACAATTGCGAGACATGGAATTCATGGACTCTATTGGCTTTACAACATAGAAGTGCCAGGTTCTGAGCTCGTGGAAGAGGATAATACTATTTTCTTGACTCAAACTATGGCCACCAGCCCTTTCCAAGGAATCATGTATGACTACATACGTTTAGAGGGCCCCGCATCTTCTAATTCTAACAACTAACTTAGAATTTCATTTGCTGAATAACAAATTGTCAAATTAGAAGACTTCATCAGTTATATGATATCAAATTGTACCGGAAGAAACGTTGACTTATACACAAAGCTAATAATATTGAGAAACTACAAAATGATGTCTAAATATATTTATTTGAAGTGTTTGTGTGCATATCTTATTTTAATACGATGACATGGTCAGGCTGGGTCAGCTGTGATCATCTGATTTTTCCAACAGTGGGTGTAAGATGCTGTCAAGACTTACAACACGGTTGATAAGTCTATAAAGCAAGGATGTTCTAATATTGCCTGCAGGTTGGCGCAAAATCTTGCAGTGTCAAATTCTTAAATCTCCGTTTAGGAGTGCAGTACCTTATGCTTTGAGGTGCTTTTTAAAAATGTGTTGTCTTGAAAAAGTATTAAATTGATTTATTTTTTTAGTATTTTTAGATGATTTTGACATACTGGTATAAAAAGAAAAACTAAAAAAAAAATATTTTGATGTATTTTCAAATAAAAAATACTTTGCACCACAATATCAAACATGTACTAAGAGAAAGGTTTCATCATAGATTAAGATTCCGATTTCATTGCCCTCTCATTTGGAACCTCCGAGACTATTTTACCAGAAGATGTTAACTAGGTAATATCACTTTTAAAAAGGAAAGTCCTTTCTTTTTTTTCAATCTTTATGCGCTACTGATATTTGCTTATCACAGATGCTGTATGACTTGTACATCGAGATATTTTCATCATTATAAAATGAGTTCTTATTTCATTTAGTTCCAGTTAAACGTTTACGAGCATTGAAATAGCTCAAGTATGAAAAAGCATAAGAATTTCCTAGGCTCAAATTTAAATTCTGATAAGCAGTCTTGCCTATATGATGGATGCCTATATGTATAGATTTTAATTTTTTGGCTATTGTTATGATGTGTCTTTCCTTGCTTGCAAACTTAAAGGTTAGGAGCTTGACAGCCAAATGCAGCTGCCTTTATCACAATGCTTGAATCTTAGGCAGGTTCAGTAATGAGGCTTTACATTTTGATGCTTGTATTGGTAATATACCTCGTGCAACCACAAGCCTGTTATAATGTGTCGAGAGTTAAAGCCTTCTAAGCATGGTGCATTTATTGTTGCACCCTATCTTTGTTAGGATATTACTATTATTGTGGTAAATATCCCACTTTCACTTTGTACAAGTGGAACAACTCATCATCCATTTGGTACAAAGTGGAAGCACATTTTATGATATAATTGATGTCATGTTTTATGATTTTTTTATCCCCTCTATGTTGATAAATATACTAGAGAAGCTTATCATTGATGTCTATAAAAAAGACATAATTTTATAGAGCAAAGTTGAGAGAGTGTGAGGAGAATAATAGAGAAGCGAAGAAGAGAGTTTGCAATGGTTGTTGTCATTGCAGTTGCTGCAAGTGCAATAATAAGAACTGGGAGTTGAGTTGAGTGGATGCAATCCTCCTTCTTTATGTATTTATATTATATTATTTTTCTATCTCTAATAATATGAACCTTTCCTGTGGATGTAGGTGATTTGCCGAACCACATTAAATATTATGTTAATATACTTAACCTTCAATGAGCAACTATCAGAGTCTGGAATCCCCCCAACAATCTTGATATCTGAAACATGATTAGAGTGCTCAGCGATATTAGTTATTGAGTGCGCTGCAGGTATGCTGTGGATTGATTGTCACTTTGCCAGATCTGCAGATAGTTGCTGTTGCCTCATAAACACGGTTACCTCCTATGGCTCCAATAATCAATTGTGCTGCCTTTTAACACCACACACACGCATTATAAAATGTACTTCTTCCCCAAGGTAGCAGTTAGTGAATACTATTGGATTACCGGGAGACAAGGAGGTAAATGGAGTTGAGTTCCTTTCAAAGTTCACAAAACTATAATATACGTAAATTCTTAACTTCCTTTCTCTGCAATTCCAACTTTCATCTTCCTCTTTCTGGATAATATCAATAGAGATGCACTCTTGATTTTCAATTAGTTCTAATAAGTTGTCGACAAGCAATCATAGAATACTGGCAGAAGCCAGACCGTCAACAGTTGCGATTTCTCTCAGGAAAATGAATGGATGCTTGCTAGCTTATGCTCAAGAATGACATTGGTTTAGGCCAACCGGAAACTACATGACAATCATACCTAGTGAGAGTTGCTGGATCAGATATTTTTTCTAGAGGAAGAGATTCTGTTAGAAAGAAAGAAAAATGTCCAAGGTGGAGATCAGGAATCCTCCAGATTAAAGACAGAGAAGATTAAACAGAAGCATAGTAAGAATAATTCAAGAGTGCTTCTTTGATATCTTTAATAAATAAACTCTCAGCCACCATCACATTTTAGTTTTATTGTTTTGTATCCACTAACTGGGTCAGCACCTAATAATCAGTTATCTAGCTAACTGCAGGTTACAACCTATTGCCTTGATATCACTTGCTTTATTTATCCATCTTCAAACAAGTGCCACTCTTAATATCAATTACTCCTTTTGGAAGTTCAGTTGATTTAGTGATTACAGAATTTTGTCTTCCTTTGAAAGAAAAAACTCTTTAAAGTGTCTTAACGTGTGTGTGTTATCAAAATTTCTATTTTCATTGTGAATTTGTTATGTTTGAAATTCGTGGTAGATTTATGAACTTAAATGCAACATAAGAAATTAAGAATATCCTGGCCTGGTGATGAAAGTGAGGAAAGGTGGACTTGTGCTTGGCAAGCTATAAAGATGTTATTTTTTCCTAGAACTCCTGCTGTATCATATGTTTCGTTTTTGGGGGGGCACAATTCATTATTTTTTTGGGTGGACAACATGGCTAATTTCCCATTTTCTGATCTATTTGGGAGCGACAGTGTCATTCCTTAGGCCCTGCAAATATATATTTTTTCTCTTGTATTTGGTATAAATTCTTGTGTGTGTGCCTGCCAGTATGTGTGACATATATGAGAGGTTATGGGCTAATGTAAAGAGGAGCTCAAATCTTCCTCTGTGAATTCTCAAAACAACATAACTCAACATGAATTTCATATGGTTAGAGCATTACTGAAGTTATTTGGATTGGCATAATCTGCTACGGTGATTTCAGGTGAAAAAAGAAAGGCGATTCCATTTACAGGGGATATAATTGTTTTTATTTCTCTACAGGTTTGGGCTTCAAAATGGAATGGAACGAAATAGCATATGTTAGTTGTAGGAAAGCCAACTTGAATCATGAGAACCAATGCATGGCTGTATTGATCCAAGAAGTCATTTGCGGTGATTATGCTTTTGCAATTCAAACAAAGAATCCCTTATCGGGTATACCTGTGAGATGCATGCAAGAGGTAAGCCTTTTTCTTTCTGTTTTAAGTAGAGTGTCGTGCATCTCATCTGATTCTGTCAATCCAAACAAAGATTGTGAAGGGCTTGGGAGAGACTTTGGTGGGGGCATATCCTGGACGAGCCATGAGCTTTTTTGCCAAAAAATGAAATTTGAAGTTTCCTATTGTGATTCCATATTCTCTTTATATGCCTTGACTATATGCTCCTTTTTCCTCGATATGGAGGCTAGGTTATCTTTATCGGCTTTTAGTTAACATTTCAGCTTACTAAATTTAGGTGATTAAAGAAAAACGTATGCACATGTTACCTTCTAGACTCAAATATGAATCTGGATTCCAGGTTACTAGTTATCCAAGTACGAATATAGGCCTATATAGCAAGCCTTCCATAATATTCAGGTCGGACTCAAATGGTGAAGATCTGGAAGGATATGCTGGTGCTGGGCTTTATGACAGGTCTGTTTCTGAAATTCTGTTTTTAGATTGGCGCCATGGATAAAAACTGCTTTATCTTTTTAATCTCCTTCGGTCTGGGGTCTCCAAAGTTGAAACTACTGAATTTGGCTAACCAGGAATATCCACAACTAGATCATGGAGAAATCCATCAATCTGTCATGTTATCCGCTTGATGAATATATGGTGGTTAAGATCTCAATGCAAATTTACTTGGAACCCAAATATAGTTGAAGGTCTTGCGCTTCCTTTTATATGTATTGATTGACTGCATCTCAACATCTAAGAAAATCTTTGATTTTGGGTTTCATTGATCAATAGAAGCCGGCAGACTAACCCAGTTGTAGAATATTCGCAATTAAGTGATGGAATAATTCGTTTACATGTCATGTTGTCCTCCATTTTATTTGGTGGTTAGGAACTCATTGCAGAATTTCTTGGGACTCAAATGACCTCCCTGCTAGGCTGCTAGCATAATCGTCGGTTCTGTGCAGCAGCCTTTTGTTGGCTGTGATCAACATTCGAGGAAATCCCTGCTTTTAGTGGTGTGCATGGTAACTCATCTGTCCTCTTGTTGGGCAACATTCATCATTTATGGCACAACTGGATCTGTTGTTTCATTTCCACAGTAAACAGCCTGAGCTGTTTTGGGTTTTTTTGTTAAGTGATGATTCAGGAACGTGCAAAAACTTGTTTTGCATATTCTTTTTCTCCGGTGATGCTAATCAATATAATACTTATCGTACTCATTGCAGTGCTCTTATTGTTGAAGAGGAGAAGATTGTCTTAGACAACTCCAGTGATCGGAAGAATCACAGATAATCTTTACGGTCGCCGCCATGCTAGTGAATGAGTGGTAAAAGATGGACCAGTATACGTGGTGTAGGCAGGACCACGAATCCAATATTAGCATGCATCTCCAGATATTTGGTTTATAGCCTGTCTGGGATTTTAATATTATTTACTGTTTAAAATGTTTTTTATTTAGAAATATATTAAGATAATATTTTTTTATTTTTTAAAAGTTATTTTTAAAATTAATATATTAAAATAATTTTAAAAAATAATGAAAAATTCAAAATTTAAAACAACTATACCGCATTCCCAAACGAGAGTACTTAACTAATAACTTCAGAACTACGAGCTGCGCGCAGATGAGAAATTTCTCTCGAAGGTGCTATTTCTTGGCTGTTGATAATGCACACATTTCCTTACACCGGAAGGAATTGTTCAGTGAATCAAAAACATGCCATTCATCCTAGGGAAAGAAAGAAAACACGGGCACCGTTTTCATATATTAGGTCGCTGTGCTCCAAGGCCTCTTTTGGAGTCGCTCTTGTTGAAAAAGCGAGCAACTTGTATCTGTAGAAGTCACGACTAGCATCCCCTCTGCGGGAGAGTTCTAGCTACCTATCGCCTACTCGTCATCCTTCGCACGCAATCCTTGAATATCTGGAGAAGAAATATCGCCTGCTACAGAAAGGGGTGTCTTTTTATAAATTGGATAAGATTTTTTAAAAGTATTTTTTATTAGAAAATATGTTAAAATAATATTTTTTAAAAAAAATATTTCTAAATACATCAAAATAATTTAAAAAAATAAAAAAATAAAAATAAAATTATATTTTTTCAAAAATACTTTTACAATGTAAAAACAAATAGATTTGAAGATAGAAAATACTATTTGTTTATTTTTAAATTTGTAGATAGAAAATACTATTTGTTTATTTTTAAATTTGTGCCTTTCTTTAGAATTATATAAAATAGCGAGTGTTTTGTTGGATTCAAAGAAAATCTTACAAAAAAAAAACATACTGAATTCCATGGAAAATATCACTAAAAACACGTTGAATTTACAAGAAGTTACTGATAAAAACTTGTTTCAAGTTCTAATGAACTAAAGGCAAAAGGTTTTGAGGAAAAGGGATTGCTTCTAGGAAAAGGGACTTTTATGATGTTATGTAATTAAAGTAATGAACAGTGATGATTTAGAATGTTAAACGCTCTTCCGTCTCATTGTTGGGAACCATTTTTTAATGTGTATTGGATGATAAAAGGTATTATCAGGTTTTGTTTGCTCCTTATTGTTTATTATCTTCTCTTCGCACAATCTTAAAAGCACATTAATCACCTCAACCTGTCCAAGTGACATATCTTTTTAAATTGGTATTATAATAAAAGTTAAATGGCATGGCTTTGTTATTTTTTATTATTTTATTCTTAATCAAAACAAAGCTAACTGTAGATTAGAACAGTATAATGATGTGATTGTTATTGCTATAAAAACTTGTTAGTTATATATAATTGGGAGTAGGGTTATTTTTCCCATGGGATATATTTAACATTAAAAAAATAATTAGGAATAGAATCATCTGTTTAGGTTTTTTAAAATAAAAACTTGTTAGTTATATAATTGGGAGTAGGGTTATTTTTTTCATAACATTAAAAAAATAGTTGGGAATAGAATCATCTGTTTAGGTTTTTTAAGATTTAGCATGGAAAATAATATAGCTACCAGTTTGCAGACCTACGTATCTAAATCTATATACATACTTACTATACTTGTCAAGGATTTTGCCAATTAAGTAGGCTGATTTTCATGAATTTGAGAATGTTTAGGAATATAATTATTATTATTTTTAAAATATTTTTTAATTAAAAAATATTAAAATAATATTTTTAAAACACTAAAATAATTATTCTTGCACGACCTGTTCTGGGATTTTACTCTTCCAGTGACAGGAGACTTTTTCTTGCGCACACACGACACGTTTTGTGGACCTGCTGGTGGATGGAAAATGGAAAGCCGAATGAGAGGAAGAAGTTAAGGCTGAAAAAGGGTTTATTCGTGGGATCATTGGGCTACCGTGCTGGAAATATTCGTTCGTACCTTCCTTGTTCCACTCACAACCATGGTTACACGACATTATCATCTAGGGGTCAGACATGGTTTAAAATCCGGGGAGTAGGTTGGAAATAGAACGTATGAACTCAAGTTTTGAATTTTTTTCTTATTTTTTTAAATAATATTATTTTAATTAAAGAATTCAGTTTTTTCACTAACAAGATAATTTGGGTTACGATAGTGAAAAATAGACCTTTTTTTATTCAGTTTTTTAACTAGGCTGTCAGCCACAATTCACAAATAGACCTTTTTTAACCCCAACTATGTTTCTTTAGTGTACTTGATATTGGAAAACACAAGTGAATTCATGATTGTTGAATCTGGCTCGACTTAATAGTTTGATTTAGAAACTCTGGAACCTTCAGCTTGGCTAGGTCTTATTTTTATTAGATTTCTAATTAAATTAAATCATATGACATATTGAGCTAGCAAAACCTAATAGATTTTATTGAGTTTTTAATAACTCTGTTGACCTGTCTGAAATAATCAAAACATGGAGAATTCATAGCCAAAAAAAACAAATAAATAATGTTATTTTTAAAAAAAAGTAATTAACTTGAGTTGAAATGATAACTTTTTTATTTTCTTCAAGCAATTCCCAATTGTGTCCTATAACTATAAAAAGATTCCATGGCTTGCCAAGATGGCATATCTGTGGCATGCAATTTCTCACGTGCCACCGGTCAGTAGTCCTTTGCTGATTGCTTTTAATGTAAAGTCAAGAGGGTGTGTGAGTAGTCCTCAACTGATTGCTTTTAATGTAAAGTCAAAAGGATGTGGAAGGTTTTTTATTGATTATTTTTTTAAAAAAAATTATAAATATATTAAAAAAATATTTTTAATATCAGCATATTAAAATAATTTAAAAATAAAAAAATAATTTAAAATAAAAAAAATAAAATATATTTTTTAAAAAACACTTTTAAAACATAAAAATAAACAGAATCTTAATGCTTTTCATAATTCTTCAAGGATTAGCAACTTTTCACTCAAAGTTGATTTATGGATAGAAAAAACATAGATAAAGGATTATGATACACAGCAAGCTAATTCAAATTTTTTTAAAATATAAAAAAATGTTAAGGCCAAGCAAATATTTTAAAAAAATTTAGATTCAAATTATTGACTTGACTGGATTTAATAAGCTTAACTAATATAATACGAATAAAAAAATTGTAATGACAATAAATAAACTGAAGAAAAAAACCTAACAACGTTAAAAGGATTAAAAAACCTGACTCGAATCTATTCAAGTTAGCATAACAAATCTATATTTTGGTCATGATATTGAGGCAACACTGTTGAAAGAAAACTATATAGAATTGTGAAACTCAAATTTCTTTAATATAAAAAAATGTTGAGGTGATGCAAGTATTTAAAAAAAAAACAAAAAAGATCCAAAATTTAGATTATTGACTCAATTAAGTTTAATAAGCTTAACTAATATTATATGAATAAAAAAATATAATGATTGCAAATAAATTGAAAAAATTGACAACATGAAAATGATTAAAAAAAATGACTCGAGCACATCTGAGTTAGCATGTCAAGTCTGTAACTTCATCGTGATATTAGGGCAACACTATCAAAAGAAAACTAGATAAAATTATAAAGTTTGATTATTAAACAACTCAATGTTTAAGAGTAAAGTTGAAAAATAAAAAATAAAAAGGCAATAAAAGAAAATCTAAATTAACTCACTAACCTTGTGACCATAAGCATTTGATTGAGATAACTCCATATAAAAAAAAATCATGGGGATAATTTTTTAATAAATCAAGTGTTGAATGATATAATTGAAAAAAATTAATTTTAAAAAACAAATTGAAAAAACCAAAGTCAACTCGTGTTAAATTTCAAATTCAATTCCCTCAGTCGTTTGCCATGAGCTAACCCTATAAAATAATAAAGCAAATTCCTAAATCAATAAGATGCTAAGGGATAAAATTTAAAAAAAATAACAATGAAAAAGAATCCATAAAAAAATAACAATAAAAAATGAGAACTACATTTGATGTAAAGATAATTTGAAATCAAATATCAAGAGAAAAAGTTTTTAAAAAACCAGATATAAAAAATATAAAAAATAGCAATAAAAAAATAATGACCTTGTTTCATATAAAAATTAAATGAAATCATATGATTATGGATGAAATTGAACAAAAAAATCAATAAAATAAATAAATAACAATCAAAATAATAAGAACCATGATGAATATAAAAAAAATTAAAATGACACATTTATATTTTAACAAAGAGAAAAAAGAATTATTAAAGCTCAACTAGTGCATCACACCTTTAAGAAGATGATGACAAGACACATTTATATTTTAACAAAGAGAAAAAATAATTATTAAAGCTCAACCAGTGCATCACACCTTTAGGAAGATGATGACAAGATGCTTTGAACATTATAGTGGAAGATGAAGTTTCGATGTGGAATGACATCTCATGTGTTGCCTATGCAAACAACTTTTCTTTTTAAATTAATATATATATAAAATCATGTTTACTTGGTAATCATTAAAAAATTAGTTTGAAAATATAAAAATACCCTAGTCACAAGTTTGAGAAATCTTGCTTCTAAAGATATGATAGTTTTTACATTACACCTCCAAAATAAAAACAAAGAAGAAGAAGAAAAGGAAAAACCAAATTACTTTGGATCTCTCAATAAACTTTTCTTTCAAGAGCAATACAGCCTCTACACCATGCTTTAAAAAAATAAAAAATAAAAAGAATTAAATTGTTCTTAATCCATCTCATAATAATTAATAAGTCATGTAAAAAATTAATTATACTATTTCAGACCAAAAAATAATTCACTTAGGCTTTCAATTTTTTTAAAAATTTTTTATTATTACGGGACTAAATCAATGGACTAGACCCTGCTAGTGATTTACTCACCTTTTATCATGCCATGTATACAAAATTGAGTTTGTGGCTTGTCGAATATCATGTTGTGCGAAATCGAACAAAAATTAATGCACTCCATGCTATGCAAAAGTCGGAGCAAGTCTTGGGTTTG